GCGATGATGGGCTCGAGTATAGCAGGGATTGTGGGGCTGGCGCGGGATCGGGCAGTGTTTTGTTCTGCTGTGCATGGGGTCGCTATGAGTCAGAAACGACTCAACGGCACTTAACGACAACAACAACACCAAGAACTACTGAGAGAACAGAAGATCTGCATTTGAAGGCAGGAACTACAGAGGAAAAAAATGACCATTTGGCTTTTTAAATTTCAAGCAAGCCTTTTGGCTTTGGGTCCATCAAGGCAGGAAAGTTTGAATTTCAAGCAAGCCTTTTGGCTTTGGGTCCATCAAGGCAGGAAAGTCATAGCCTATGAGAGAAACCCCTTCTAGGACTGGAAGTTAAAGGAAGCCAGCAAGTAGCAGGCTTATATCCTGCTCACTTGTGACCACCTGGGTCCACTTGAAGAGTGGAAATGGGGGAAGTGCAGCAATGAAGAAATGGGCTGAATTTGGAGCTCTTTGACCTAGGCCATGGAAGCTAGGGATGAGAGGAAGGGCTGGCTGGTCTGAAGTGCAAGGAGTTATGTGGATCATTCCACATAACTTAGTCCCTGAGGACTAAGGATGAGAGAGAGAAGGTGCTGGCTAGTCTGAAGTAAAGGGAAGAGTGTGACTCTCAAAACTTGGCAGATGGTACCCATGACCTAGTTGAGATGGCTGGGGCTGAGCTGACCAGAACCCAACCAAATGAAGAAGATGTTTGACACTGAGCTGGTGTTAAATTGCTGTAATTTGATGGCTTGTGCTGGGCTGGACTTTTCTTATTTATGGATGCAGATGCCCAAAGTTCTAAGCAAAAGAACAGATTCTTCAGAGAGAAAAGAATTTGCTTGTCTTCTCAGAGTACTGGTTTGATAGGGATGGGCAAATCAGAAATTGACTATCTATGATGGGGGGAGATAAAGGCATAATGGTAAACAGGGTGCTGATTTATGAAGTATAAAAGGGTTATTGGCTAGAAAAGCTAGGGCATGGCCTGTGGTGTAGTGAATTACATAGTATGGCTTTCCTAGCCATAGTCTTTGTAACTCCCACTGGATTATTGGGTGGGACCATGCAATTTAAACTACTGATATTTAAAGTTATCCATTTGGGGTATTTATTGTTGAAGCAGCAAGAAGTAATCTGAGAAGTTCATTCTCTCTCAGGTGTATAGAATTCTGATGTTGAGATTGGTTGATTTTGCCACTCTGCCAGACTCAAAATGAGCCCACCTAGGGGCAGGGACCCAGGACCCAGGGACTGGGAAAGATGAGGAGTCAGCCGCAAGGATCCAGGTGAGGAGAGGGAACCCAGTCCGTACCCCAAAGTGGCAGGGCAGGAGAATAGGAGAGAAGAGAGGAAAAGGCCTGGGATCTGGGACAGAGCAAGGAGTCAGCCGCAGGGATCCATGTAAGGGTGGTAGGAGAGGTTTCCAACAGCTAAGAGAGACAAACTTTTCTGTTGGTTTGTCTCCCTTGGTCACGGTGACGTGTTGCTGTGAGTCTTGAGGCTGAGCCACTGGTGTTTCAAACCCAGTGGGGTGCGTATGGTGCATAAGTATCATCCTGACTCAAAGACTGAGACAGACTAGGAAGAAGGAAGAGGCCATCCATTTCTCAAAGAATTGGCCAGGGAAAACCTTATGAATAGCAAAGAAACACACTGTCTGATACATTACCACACAACTTTATGAATAGCCCGGATAGGTTAGAAGGCTCTCAAAATAGGACTGGGAACAGCTGCATCATCAGAGTAAATCCAACCTTACTCCTATGGATAAGGTAAAGCTTTCGAGACCTCCATTTTCTGATGTGACACCACTCAAACTGAGGACACACAGCTGCAGATATCCATTAATCATCGGAACATGGAATGTACGAAGTATGAATCTAGAAAAATTGGAAGTTGTCAAAAATGAAATGGAATGCATAAAGATTGATATCCTAG